CGAACCGCTGAAGCGTCGACCATTTCTGGCCGGCAACTTTCAGCGTCATTAAGCCGCTGCGCCACCACGTCCCCATTAGGATCTCTATTGCCTGGCAAATAATTTACTTAAAACCTATCTGAATGCCGTGGGAAGGTTTGATTAAAAGAAGAGGCAAAATAAAATCAAATTTGGCTTTAATTGGAGTAGAATTCACAGTATAAAAGAACATGCATAATTTCTATTGTCCCAAGCAGGCTGAGACTTCCTGACTGAAAGTGTGCCTTGATCTGCAGTCTGGACTGTCTTGCTGTTGTTCTTGGGCTGAACCTGACATTAAGTGAGGACTACCTGTATCGTATTGTTGCACTTTTCTACTTCAGATATACTTTTTGGTGCCTTCCTAATAAAGCTTCTGAGACTCCTCAAGTTCTCAGATCAGTATTGCTTACTTTAACTTGTACTCTTAGATATGCAGAGTATTATAACTGTCCAGCCCATTATTTTGGGGGAGGGGGGAGCATTTTTAAATCTGTTAATCATTTCCAAGTTCCCATTGCGCTCTTGGCAACTCTTATCTCACAAACCTGCTTGCTCTGTAAGATCCACTCGCTCCTGACATTTAGTCAATGCACAATTTAGAAGTACTCTGTGTGCTAGATTAAAATATATTGCATAGATAGAAAGGATAAAGGGACAGGCTTGAACTGAGCTTTGCCCAGTATCATGATAAAGACTACATGCCAATTTTTAATAGGCTGTGTGCTACATCTTTTGAAGGAAGGTTTACACTTTTGAGGATAATGTTTAAGGCAGTGTTTCTCAACCTCAGCAACTTTAAGCTATGTGGACTTCAACTCTCAGAATTCCCCAGCCAGCATGTGGAAGTCCACATAGCTTAAAGTGGCTAAGGTTGAGAAACACTAGTTTAAGGACTTGATCGTGGCTAGAAATAAGGTGGGAGAAGAGATAAAAATGAATTGTAGTAAAAAGAATTTCAGTGCTTCCAAAGCTAACTTTTTCTAAAATTAAACCCCTGGTTACAGCACAACTCACAGAACCAGGGCAGAAGGAAGCAGAGTGATGGTAAAGAAGTAAACGATTCTTAATAGAGGCTGAATCCAGCCATTGTGGTTTATTAGACCAGTTTTGTTTAAACAAGGTTTATCAAGGAAAGCATAATTGGGCTGGGTTCACAAAATAGGTTGGATCAAAACTTCTCAAATTTTGTGATATCACAACCACCTAAAATAATACATGAATGTGTTTGGGGCCACACAAATGAAGCTAATGACTTCATTGGGGTTAAGCTGTGCAAGAAATACATGTACCACTTCCTCTAATTGATTAAATTGTAAGGATTTCACAACTTTATGGTTTCATCAGAAATTTTTAAAAAATCAAATTGAAAACCATACTATTTACAAGAAAGGAAGAGCTTGATTAGTTTTGGGAAATTCCTGAAATCTTGGTTTCATTTTTGAGACTTCTCTTGTTTCTTTATCAATACTTGCTTTGTATAGCAGTAGCTGAAAAAAACTATGACTCTCACAAATAGTATATTGCAAATGGAATCAATATGTTTATAGCCCTCTCATGTAATACTTTTGTACTCATTTGCACATTGATCCAAAATTCTGGCAGAGACATAGTTGCAAATTTTATTTTCAAACAAGGGTTAGAAGAGATATCAATTAATTGCTAATAGTAGGATGGTATCAGCTGTCCATTTAACATCTGTTAAAATAACATATAAAAATCCTGAAGTTTACTAACACATATATTTTTACAAACATTCAAAAACTATAGGAATACTAGTATACTGCTCCATGTCAGGCCAGTGGAGATGCTGGAGACACCCAAATATTTCCAAACCCAGCTGAATCATCAGAGTCCAAGAGTTTTGTTCATTTCAGTTGCATTTAAAACCCAATCCATGAAGTACATAATGCTTCAGTCAAAGCAGGTTACAAACGTGATCAATGTTGGAATAGTAACTTCGGTTTTCTTCAGGGTATATGTTAATCTAGACCAGAAGATGGTGGAATTGTTTTGAGAAGTTGCAACGCCTTGTATTTTATTACACAGTACATATATATCCCCCCCCCTTTTTTTTTTTGGATAGCTCAAATATCAAGCAAGTAATATGGAGTCTCCTTTTATATTATCTTTGTGAGGCCTGAGATGAATGGCTGGTCAACATTTCTCCATAAATTCCATGATTAAATTGGGACTTGTATCTGAGCCTACCAGACATGGGCTACCTATCACTGCTATTCCGTGCTGACAGATGAAGTATCTCTTAAGCATTTTGATATTTTTCTTTCATGGTATATATTCTCTGAATGAGGAAAACATCTCTGGGTCAATTTTTTGTGGCTAGGTTTTAATGTCCCAACTGGAGGGTCTAGACCAATAATTTGACTCTTTCTAGAGCACCTTCTCGAGACTGGTTACTTTACTTGTTCCCTAGAGCACCTTCCCCAACCTGGTACTCTTCAGATGTAATAAGACTCCATTTCCCACAGTTCCCAGCCAATGTGCTAGATGGGAATTTAGGAAATGCAGTTCTTGCACATCTGGAAGGGGCCAGTTTAGGTGAGGTTGTTATAGAGCACCATCTCCTTGTCTGAGAGCTAAGACAGAGTGTCAACAGATCTCAACTCCTCTTTATTGTCTCTGTTCTTCCAAAGGAGGCTGTGATGGGCCCCTGTTTAAAAAGAAAATAATATAGAAAATAATATTGTCATATATATTTTTTTAAAAATGTAAGCATGTAGGGGATGTTTAACTTTACAAGCAGATTTCGCAAAGCAAAAAATCAAGATGCTAGTCCTGAGCCTATGACTAATCCTCCAAGCCAATTTAGAGACCTCAGCAGTGCCCCAAAGCATGAAACAGGAAGCTGCCTTTAGACCAACATGGACAATTGGTCTATCACTCAAACAGACAAGGGACTTTCCCAGAAGATGTTAAGGGATGAGTATGGAATTTCTGCCAAACTGGTACCCATCCTAAGTCATGATCCTGGCTATGGCATGTCTTTGCGCTGGTTATCCTTCCCTTCTGTTCTGCCCCCCTTTCTCTGCCGTTCATTCGCAACTCCTTCTGTTTTATTGCTTACAGATGACGGGAAGCTCTCCTTGGAAGAATTCCAGGCCTTCTTTTCCGATGGGACTCTTAATGAGGAAGAGCTGGAGAAGCTTTTCCATACCATCGATTCTGACAACACCAGGTGGGTCTCTTTAGATTTCTTAACTGCTTTGCCCCATCAAGACATTTATTGATTTCTCTTTTCTTCCTGGACCGAGCTGACATGTCAACAGTGATGGAAGAGCCACTGTGCACAAAGAAGTTAGATTGTGAGGGCTCTATGGGCATGTGGTGGCAAGGTTTTCCTTTGAGGTTGTATGGGCACTGTTATTAAATGGGACTTCCTGGTGGGTTCATACCTTGCCAGGGGCTGCTTTTTCCATTGTTGCCAAGTTTTTTTTCCAGGCCCAAGATAATGGTTTAGAGATGCTTTGTACATTCTTGAATAGTTTGAATATCTAAAGTATCTCCCTCAATGCCTTTCATCTTATGTCTGTCCTCAGGACCTCAGGCAACGTGAAGGTGCCCTTGTCAAGTGTAATGGGGCAATTGACCACAAAGAGGGGGGCTTTTGTGGTTGTGGTGTCCCACATCTGGAACGCCCACTCTAGGGAGACATGCCAGGAACCTATATTGATGCTTTTGGATGGCAAACAAATATATTGCTATAGGCATTTCTGTATTTTTATACTCAATTGGATTTTGAGGGCCTTCTGTGCACTGGAGTGATGGATTTTATGTTTCCTATAATTGCCTTTTTGTGATTTTGTAATTGCCTTTTATTCTTTGGCCATTTGTCACTTGTCATTTTTTTAGAACTTTTAAAATCAGTGGTTTTCAGTCTTTCGTCTCTCAAGTCCACTGATCTCTCTTGTCAAAGAAGTTGTGCCTGACCACGAGAGAAAGAAAACTCCTACTTTTTTCAGAGAAAGATCTATATGTGCTTACAGTCATTATCTTAATATAATGATACTACATTTTAAAGCTTAATTAAAGTTTCATTACCTTATCTTCTGATTCCTCCCTGAATCCTAAGCCTGCCACTGGTTGAAAGTCTATATTAGAGAAGTAATAGAAATATGTGATTTATTTTCATGAAAAATGACACAGTCATACCCAAAAAAGAAAGACTTTCACACAAAGGCTATGCTGGGAAAAAAATCTGCTCGCATCCCATGATCAATTCAGTACAGTCCAACGTAACAAAACGGAATACATGATCCTCAGAAAAACCTGCCAAATGTTGTTATTAATGGAGAGCAATCTCTTGCATTTTTTAAGACCTTGTTTTCAAAATGTATTTCACAGGAGAAATCTGATGAAACTGTTCTGGGCAAAGTGTGGTATCTTTTGCATTTCTGTAGCTGTGAGTGTGGCCAAGGAGTTTCTAGATGGAAGTCCTCTCCTTTTATGATCTTTCTCCAGAAGTCTAGAGTCATTTGGCTTTTTTCTTGCTTTTCAAGGAGAGAGAAGACAGTATTCTACCCAACGTATTCTAAACATAAACTCAATTACAGTCAAAGACCAGCCTAGAACAATGCCATATAAAAAGTAAGGAAATAATATGATATGAAGGAGCAAACATACAAAGTCAACCATATTATAGTCAGGACTGCCACAGTAGGGGCTAAAAGCCAGAATAATGATAAAAAGAATCAAAGCTATAAAATTATATAATAGCTGAACCAAACCTAACTAGAGATAAAATGAAGAAGAGACAGATAAAATTAGAACCACTATAAAACTGCCCTATATAAAATATACTACAGCAGTGTTTCTCAACCTTGGCAGCTTGGGGACGTGTGGCCTTCAACTCCCGGAATTCGCAGCCAGCATGATGTACTATGTACTAGACAGTACATAAAAGCAGAAAATATCAGTGCACAAAACAAATATAAAAAGGGCTGGCCAAAGAGGGAAAACATATATATAAAAAGCAATTAATTATTACAGGAGAAGCTATTATAAGGAAACTTTGCAAAAAAAAAAAAAAAGCTGAGAAAAAAACAGTTATTGCTACCCAACCTGGTGTAAGTGAAGAAGCTTGAGACGAAAGAAAGGCTGTCTTTCAGGCTCAAAAGTTGCAATGGTTTCTTTGGGTTTAGACAAGTGGGTTGAAAAGTAATTGGGTTTTTCTCCAGTCTTGCAGAGGCGAATCATCTGTTAAGCAGCCAACAGCCTCTTTAGCTTTCTGTGCATCTGTTCAGCCCCAGGGGGACCGTCAAGAGAGAGAGTGCTTTTCCAGGGACTCTCTGGGTTGAGAAATAAGGGCTGCGAGAGGGGCTGCGGGCTGTTGGAAACATGCAGATGAGAAATCCTCCTCCTCCTCCTCCTCCTCCTCCTCCTCCTCCTCCTCCTATGCCTTGCCCAACACTGACACCGAAGAAAACTCAATTAAAAAGAAATCCTTAAGTATGGCCAGGACAAGAGGAAAAAAAGAAACAATAGATGTCTCTGCTAGAAGGGGACATCTTTTTCTTTTTTGAGAAATTGCATGGCAAATTTTAACCAAGTGTTGCTTCACAGGTCCAAGAGAGATGCTTCTTTTAAACTGAGCAAACGTGTCTGGGACTTCCATGAAAGAATTAAATAGGAAGAAATCACCCAAGGGAAATTTGCAAAGAGCAATGGCCATGTCAAGTAGTGTGAATGAATGAATGAATGAATGAATGAATGAATGAATGAATGAATGAATGAATGAACGAACACACATACAGAGAGAGAGAGAGATGATGATGATGATTACATGCCATCAAGTAGTGGTCGACTCTTAGCGAACAACATAGATAGATTTGTTGTTGACCATTTTATATTTTCTATCGATATGGTTTTCTTGGTAAAAATACAGGAGTGGTTTACCACGGCCTTCTCCCGTGCAGTATGAATCGATGCCTTTGCCATTGTGGCCAAAGTGATCCTCTGCCCCTGGCATCTTCCTATGGAGCTGCTGCCCATATAGGTGCCTGCTTGCTTTAGCTGGCCAGTGGTAGGACCTTCACACCTTGGGTGACCCTGCTAGGAATATATATCCAAATAAAAGGCTATGTTATTGTAGAAGGACTTTTTGGTGCATTTAAAGTAACTGCATGAATAGGACTTTTGCCTGTGGAAGCCATTAGGAGAGCATCCTTCTACCATAATGCAAAGCCCTCATCCAGCTTTGTTTCAGTTCCTGTTCAGGCAGGGTTTTGTGGTTGGTTTGTTTATTTGTGTATTTATTTATTGTAAAGAGTTATAGCAGTTCAGGTAGTCCTCGACTTATGACCATTCATTTAGTGACCCTTCAAAGTTACAAGGTTGCCAAAAAAAGTAACTTATGACCGGTCCTTGCACTACGACTGTCGTAGCATCCCCATGATCACGTGATCCAAATTAGGCTGCTTGGCAACCAGCATGTATTTACAACAGTTGCAGCATCCCAGGGTCATGTGATTGCCATTTGCAACCTTCCCAGCCAGCTTCCAACAAGTAAAATCAATGGGGAACTGCATGATTCACTTAATGACTGTGTGATTTGCTTAATGACCACATGATTCACTTAATAACCATAGTGATTCACTTAACAAACTTAACTGCTGCAAAAATGTTATAAAATTGGGTGCGGTCACATGATGCCTCGCTTAATAATCATACCACTTAATGACCAATTTTCCTGTCCCTATTGTGGTTGTAAGTCGAGGACTACCTGTGTCTAAGTTCAAAATAAAACACTTACTGCTTTGTAGGGTTAAGAGTCGCTTCAGCAACTGAGATGGCTAATAAATTGATTGATTGTTGATTGATTGATTGATTGATTGGTTGAATAAATAAGGAGAATCAGCAAGTAGTCTGAGAGAGTGCATCAGGGCACAGTGCAGTCTTCTCTGCATAAAAGCTGGGAGGGAGAGAAATCCAGATTGCTAACATGCCATACTAAACCATGGTTGGCTTAATCATGTTCTCTTGAAGCAACTACAAACAACTTGGTTTTGGTAACATATGAAGCCAAGTCAGGGGGGAAACACTTTGGGTGGGTTGGGAGTGCACTGAATTGGGGGGGGGTGTGTGGAGCAATGGGGCAATGTGGGCAGGCCTCTGTGTTGCACTGGGAAGGCACCAACTGCTTGTTGGATGGAATTGCTTTGACTTACTTTCCTTGAAACCAGCGCTTAACTGTCTTAGGCTATGTGTTTCCTGTTTGGAAAAGAAAGAAAACCACCAATAATTTTCAGTGAAAGTATTCAGAGCAGATCCAAGGTCCAGAAAGAAAAGGGGGGACTTATGGGCTGCATTCCCTGGTCTACACCAGTGTTTCTCAACCTTGGGAACTTTAAGATGTGTGGACTTCAACTCCCAGAATTCCCCAGCCAGCATGAGGAGTTGAAATCCACCAATCTTAAAGTTCCCAAGGTTGAGAAACACTGGTCTACACCCTACAACTGCTGTATATTATACAAAACAAAGCATCTTTAGAATCACAGGGTTTGGATTTCCACATTTCCACATTGCACTAAGCGGAAACAAATCCATCTTATGGGGGATTCCTGAGCCCAGCTGTGTTTTCAATTTATCACCCAAATCATGACTCCTCCAAGACCCAGCGGTTGTGCTTCTCAGTGCATAGTAAAATAACAACCGGGAGAGTTGGGTTACCCCAGCCGAATCATCTTTAGCATTAGCTGCTAAAAATAACATTGCTTTCTTTAGGCAAAAGAAAATCATTTTACAGGAGTATTAAACTTCTGGTCTCATCTCTCACTTTTCAGCAGGCTTAGAATTTGCTGGGTGGGTGGGTATGATGAGACAGGGAATATATTCACACATATTAGACATTATCTCCCAAAAGCTGAGCAGCAAATATAATCCTGCAGTTCTTTTGTATTGATTACAGAAGCAGGTTATAGGGCTGGATTGCTATTTTAAAAAACCCATTTTCTGCTTTCAGAAAAAGAGAATCCTTCATATTCTCTTCTTTCTGTAAGACACCATTGTACACAGGCCCATAAAAATTCTGAAGGACAAAATATTAGTCCTGTGTATTAATAAAATGATCTGGATACTGCACTGCGATAAAATTCATCTGCTTAGCATTTCTGGCAGAAAGAGGGGGAAAGGATTGCGGTGATCTTAATCAGCGATCTGCAGTCCAAACTGATTGGGTTG